GCGTCGGCGGGGCCTTGGCAGCCCGATGTGCTCAGAGTTGTGGTGAGAGCAGGACCAGCGTGAGGCTTGCCGGCCGGGCGGTCCGGAGTGTCAGAGCCTGAGGAAGGGAGAGGAGGGCTGTGCTCCCCTCTGCGCTGGATGGCCACTGGGCAGTCTCTGAGATAACTGTCACCAGGTGAAACTAACTAATTGGCGTGGAAATGGGCATTTATTGAAAGTTCTGGTGGTGTGAAGGTGTTTAGAGGTGTCTGTGTTCCTTCTGGATGCTGCCCGAAGGTGGAGACTTGAAAGTCCAGCGGCAGGTCTGCCCCGAAACCATTCCTGTCAGGGCACCTTGCTGGTGTGGGGCAGCAGCATCCGGGCAGGTCACTGGTGAAACATCCTGGAAAAGTGGGTGGGGAGCATTTTGGTTTGAGACCGAGGCTGGTTTGGAGAAAAAAAAGGGGGGAAAATATTTCCAGCAAACTGGAGTTCCTGCTTTTTTATATGCCCTATCCTGAATGCCTGATACAAATAAGTGAAATAACGTATTAGACTTTTGAAGAGACTTTTTAAAAAATTTATTTGAGGTAGTGTATTTGAAAGTATAAATATTTGTCATCAATGTTATTAATTTCTTGCTTGCAGTTGAGCAGTCGTGCTTCTAAATAACCACCAGTCTTTGATTAGACTAATGGATTTGTGGTTAATCTCCAGAACTGGACCCACCTGTCGTGGGACCTGATTACTGTCAGCTTTAGTAATACACAGTTACTGCAAAGAAGGTTCTTGTAGCAACAGTTTGTTGTTTGTGTTTGGTTTTTTTAAAAAACTTTTAAAAATTGGTATCGGCATACATTCTGTATGGTGGAATACTGCCAGTTTTGATCATTGAGCATAGCACTGTGCTTTGTGAACGGTTTTGGTGATTTCAGCAGTCGCTGTAAACAGGTTGGTGGAACTGGGTTGTAAGTGTTTTGGTTATCTGTGTGGGAAGTCTTTATCAGGTCATATATTCTAGTTTGCATTTTAATTTGAGAGTAGCCTGTTGAGCATGCAAATGTAAAACTTTTGGTAGTGAATAATATTTGTATAGCAGAAATGCAGATGATTTGCTGTTATTCATTACATTTTGAAATGTGATTCAGACATCTAAAATGGTTGTTGCTCATGCTTAAAATAAAACACCAGTAATAAAGTGAAAATTTGCTTATTTAGTACTACTTGAGATTCTCTAAATTTACACAAATTACTAGATTCTTTTAAGCCGTTGTATTTTGTCCTCTATTTGTCCCCTGCTTTAATCCTTCCTTAATGCTGTGTGAAGAGATTATGGGCAGTATGTCATTAAGAGTATAAAACAAGCTGGTGTTTACAGCAGGATTTCTCTTTTCAGTTTGGTAGCTGACTGTTATGATAATTTTACATTTTAGAGCTCATGCAACTGAGGAAATAATGCCATATAAGCTTTCTGATGGGAAAGGCCACTTCAGAGGCTTGTTAATCAGAAAAGCTAGATTGAGCCCTTGCTCCTACCCAGGTTGGTACAAAAGAGAAAACTGTACTGCAAATTTGAAAACAATAGAGACCACAGAGAAAAAAAAAATGCACACCTGAACTGGATACGCGTGATGCAAAGTACTGAGTGTACAAAAGTCTGTTTCAGTGAAATGTGAATCTCACTTACAGTATCTAACTCATCGTGCTCTGTAATTCCAGGAAGAGCAAAAGAAGCCCCTGGCTCTGATGTCACACCAGGCTGATAGATGCAAGTACTTGGCGATCTGGTTTATTCTAACATTGGTGGGCAGTGATGGTTAGAGCCTTGCAGGATCCAGTGCTGTACTTCTTGGTCAGCAAACCTCTGTCACCCTCCGGTGTTTCTTACGGACTACTGTGTGCCTTAGTGCTGCCAGAAAATTGACTGCTTAGTTGTGCACAGAAATGTCTCGATTTTTTTAGGTACTGCTGTATGAAGGATGAATAATCTAAAAAGTTAGAGAAGAGCTTAGAGTCAAGTGTGATACCTGCCAGGCATCTTTTTCATTGCTTTTGGTTAGTTTTCAGTTGATGGTGTCTCACTGTAAGTGTCTTTTTGTTAACTGTGAGTGACCAAGACAACTCGTTTCACAAGAGTCATCGGTGGCATGGCCTAACACGCATCGGTGAGGTGGTGAATGTATGCAGTAGATATGATGGTACAGAAATACTGTTGCCAGGGTATGTAGTTTTCACACCTGGTTTTGTGCATTTCCATAGAGCCATTTTGACGCTTCCATTTGACTATTGAAGGAACGTGCTGACATTTCTGTACTTTAAGTGTTACCATATCCTAAAAATTACAGTATACAGAAGAAAATGAATGAGGCACTAAAATACATTACAGAACAGGCAAAATGTACATTTATGTCAGTGATGTGTTACATTACACAGGACTTCTGGAGGGAGGAAACACTTTGTGGTGCTGTTTCAAGTGTGTATACCGAAAAAATAGAATTGCACAAAAGGAATAATTGTAAAAGCATGTGAGTAATTTACACCTCTAAAAATTACTTGGAAAACTGATAGGATTTAGACACCAAAATTAGAGGACTTAAGGTCAAAACTTGAGGTTTGTATCTAGATCTGGGTCGGTTTATTGCTAATACAGAGGTTTTCATCTTGGTGTTTTGGTTCCCTTTGCTAGAGAGGAAAAGGTTGGGTGTGAAATGCGTGCAAATTCTCCAGATTTTTAACGTATGTAACTCCAGGAGTTCAGGCTACGGCCATCTTTGGCAGATATTGCTGAACCCGCTCCAAAAACTGTGTCTTGGACAATGCACAATGACATTTGTTGAAGCAGAGAAATGCAGGCACCCAAATCCTGTTACATTAAACTTCATGTTATATGTCTGTGTACACCTATAGACAAAATGCCTACACAGTTTATTATTGCTGATGCTTTATATGCAGATACTGTGTTTTAAATGTGTATTAGAAAACTTTCAGAAAAATTTTCATGTTATTTTAATATATAAAAAATTAGCAATTGATAACTTGCAAGATATGTATGTAGTACATATCTTGGCGTAAACACTCGATCGTCTGCTTATTACTAGAGTGAAAATAGTCTTGTTGAAGAAATGGCATTATTCACGGGATGAAAGACTAGAGTGCACGCGGGCAAATGAATTCTGAGAAAAACAATAGGCTTAAATATGTATGAAAGTTCAATTTAAAACCCAGTCCTAGTTTGAATTGTCTATGACTGTTACTTTTTGTTACATCTGGTTTTTAGCTTTGTTATGGAATATGCTATTAACCTGCAATCTTATTTTACTGTAGCGATGTCTTTTTTTGTGAATGGAGAAAAACTTCTTTATGTTTTTCCCTGTCAAACTGGTGGATGTCTGGTGCAAAGATTATACATTGATACGTCCACTAGGTCACTTGTTACTGACATCTTGACGGCCGATGTAAGATTATTCCCTGGTAACAGAAGCAACAGTAACAAGGTGCACGCTGTGACTTCTCCAAGGAAGGAGCCTTTCAAGTAACAACAGTTCAGAAACGTTGGTGTATTGTCCGGGCAGATGCTTCCTTTAGACGGCAGGCTAGTCTGCTCAAGAATGCCGTGTTCACGCTCCTAAGAGGCCAGTTTTTATTGTTGAATTTTGCTGGGCCTGTAAATCTCATCCTGAGGCTTGTTACCAGCTGAATTTTGAGTTTCTTAATCTGTTTGGACTGCCCTAGTAGCTTGTAGCTAATTCTGGCATAAGGATAAGGACTAGATGCATGTTGAATTCTGCATTTCCCATAGAGGTAGGCTGACAGTGAATGCCAGTTGATTTGAGCTTTATTTTGCATTTTCAGAGAGCAGAGGCAAAAGGTAGAGAGGATGTTGTAATACGGTTAGCAGCCAATGGTTGGTTTGTGTCAGCATTTGGGTTGCAGTGAATAAATGGTACAGTGGTTGGGCTGCCAGTTTTTCCTACACCTGCATAAATAAGTGGATGACCATTGTGAGTTTGCATAAGTGCCTTCACATGGGTTTTTAGGATTGGGTCTAGCAGGCAGCTGGTGTTAAGGTTAGAATTAGGATTTGTGCATAGGAGCTGTGAGAACAGGCTGAAGTGTTGGTGACGGATAGTATTGCATGTAACAAAAGCTAGGGTTCAGATTCAAGTTTGGATCAGGATTCGAATTAAGGTTTACGTATATTCAGAGATGAAGATTCAACATTGCTTAATGCAAATTCTTTTCCAAATGATAATTCAGATCTAGTCTCCCGTATCAAAGCATGTGAGCTCTGTACTTCTCTCTGCAGGCCTTGTAAAACTGAAAAGTTAACTCTTCAGCCATGAGTGTGCCTAATTCTAACTGCAGCTATAGGCTAAGAATTCTGTGAACTTTGGAGTACATTTATAAGAGCTTGATTTACCTTGGTGAAGAATGCAGCATTTACCTTGCTTCCTCACCTCCATTCCTCGCTAACCTTAAGCATAGAGAGCCTGCTTACGCTACCGATCCAAACCACAGCATTCAGACCCTAGGTTTACCATAGCACCCTGTAACATCTTGGGTTCTTCTGTTTTCCCAAACTTCATCTTTGCCTTCGTTACAGATTAGGAACCTGCTGCTGTCTGCAAATTAAGAATGAGTTCCATCAGAGGACTCCAACCTTAAACACGCTTCTCTGGTTCTAGGGAATTATGACAGGAATCTTTACTCTCCAGTTCCTGTGTACTAACGCTAATTCAGACTAGGCACCTTCTGTGGTTTGAAGGATTTAAAGGAACTAGTTATATTTAAAGAACACATTTCTATTCTATTTAAAGAACACATACAGATCTGGGGGGTGTTATCGTTAGGTACAAATAGTAGAGCGTCTCTTTCCTAAAGTACTGTAAAATTATATATTTCCCTATTCTTTTTTTTTTAAGGATCTACATGAGAATGACCATCTTCTTCTGTCTCTTAAATGTTATATCTGGATTTCAAAGTAGCTGTAATTTGGAGGACACTAGTGACTATCCTGCTCCATTATGAGAAGACATTCACCAGTGTAAAACAGTCTGGAAGAAGATTTCTCTAAGAAAATCAAAAAGCATAGAATCCTTTAATAAAACAGAAAAGATTTAGAATTTCATAAGATTTTGGCTATCTGGGTCTTAAAAAAAAATAAATAAAATGAACCGTTACACAATCATGAAACAACTAGGTGATGGGACCTATGGCAGTGTGTTGATGGGGAAGAGCAACGAGTCAGGAGAACTTGTGGCTATCAAAAGGTATGTAATATCTAAATATAGAAAAGGTGCTCGCAGAAGCTCAGAGATTTTCACATTTAACGTTAGTGTTGTCTGCCATCTGTGTAAACTGGAAAAAAAAAATGTTCCTTTTCAAGGAAATTAACATAACAAAATTAATTTTTTTAATTAAGATGCTTAACAAGGTGATGGGGGGTCAGACTTCAGCTAACAGATCCATTGTGAGACACAGCAGTTTGTATAAGTTGCTGATTTATCTTGGCTTGTAGAATTCCATGCTGCTTTTGTTCAGTTCGAGCCGGCTTCTTTCTAAAAATGTTGTTAGGCTAACACCAAAGGAAAAGCAAAACTGAGTGTGCAGTTGATTAATTAGGGAGTTTGTTTATTTATATGGGTTGTAAGAATACCCATTTTAAGGGATAGATTTGAAATACCTTCCCACCCAACTAAATCTTTTTAGGCCCTGTATTAAGTTTCAAATATTGCTACAGTCATAAATACCAGGTAACAATCTGGTCAGGGAAATAAAAGCTGTCTCCTTGGATCTAATAAAGTTGTGTTGTGCATAACTATCAGCGTTGTCATGCTTTCCTATAAAGATTATTACTAAACAACAGAAATTGTATGAGAGGAGTGGGGAAATTCCCCTTGTATTCCTACAGAATTGCAAGCAGGATGTAAAGCGTAAGTTGAAATACCAGAAATGGCATGTTGCTGAGATATTTTTTTTTTCTCCATTTATGGATTTAGTGCAGAAAAAAAACTGTAATATAATTGACTGACTTTTGTTGTAGAAACTTCTGAGAGTTTGAGGTTTCTCCATATACTGCTAGGGCTGTTACCTAGGTTAATAATATTAAGCTAAACTAAAAAAAAAAATAAATCTGCAAGTGATTATTTTAATTATTTTTAGGGAAAAGGAACAATATTTTGTGGGAAGTGTTTTTCATTCTCATGATTTCAAGATTTGGAATTCTTTTGTGTGATTTTTAAGTTTGGGATTTGAGGGAGACAATTTTGGTTGAAGAGGAGTTTATTTTAAATTAAAATCTTGGGTTTAAGTCGTGTTGCTCTAGGTGCTAGAAGGAACACAGCAAATAACATGGCATTTACAACCCTGTCCCAAGACCTGAGCAACACCAAATATTCATGTTTGTATCTATTCAAGACGTACAAATAAATGTATTACACTGTTATATATAAGGATTAGTTTAGAGACTATTATATGTATTAGTATTGCTTGAAAAGATGAAACCATTTTTATTTGGTTGGTGTTTAATCCTTGGAACAGGTTTGTAAAAATGACTAATCAAGTCAGATGGTAAATTATAATGTTAAGCTGCAGTCAAGATATTTTGCAGATTTCAAAAATGTCATTTTCTTGTTTTCCTAGAATGTGCAACTTGGAAACAAAGATGTGATTTTTCTGGTTTCAAGTATCCATGTTTTATGTGCAGTGTGACTGTTGCTTGTTTTGTTATTAAGAGCACAATTCAAATTATACGAAGGGATTTTGTGTCCCTGATGCTTTTATAAATACCTTGGAGTATCACGGTCTCTCTGGCTAACTCCTCCTCTAAAAAATATGTTTGTAGTGACACTTATATTTCTAGCAATTCTAAGAGTTTGTTTTAAATTATTTTGCTGATGGATATTCTAGAATGTTTTGAACTGAGTTCAAAATACAACTAATGCTGCACTTGGAAAATAACGTGTTTAGATTTTTTGTTCTAAAATAATTCTGTACTGTTCACTGAAAATACTTTATCTTGGACTTGTATTTCAGAATGAAAAGAAAGTTCTATTCATGGGATGAATGTATGAATTTGAGAGAAGTCAAGGTAAAGTGGTGAACGTACCACATTTAAAAATTAGTGTCTGGTTAGGTTTGCATGAAGGAAAAGGGCACCTACAATGTCTAAGCATAAGGCCAAACTCTGTAAACTCTTTAAATGAGGGTGGCAGATTGCACAAAAGCCTGGGCTGCTGGCACTCCTAGAGCTCCCACTGCTTTGTGGAATATCCCACTGTTCTCACGCAGTGCCTATGTCTTATAGCCATGCCTCTTCTCTTTGACAGAAGATGAAGAAAATTATTTAGAGTGTGTGTGTGTGTAATGTCTTATAGCCATGCCTCTTCTCTTTGAGTGAAGATGAAGAAAATTATTTTGAGTGTGTGTGTGTATTTCTGTGTTGTATCATCCTGCTGTTTCATTTTACTGGCAGATTTCTAGGTGTATATCCAGCCCTTATTTTTTTGTATTGGGGGAACTAGTAGAAAACACTGGGAGTTTTGGGTAGCCAAATGATAGAATAATGCTTGCAATCCTGGGCTTAAATTCTAAGTCATCCCATGTTTTGGGCATCTGATTTTCTGTATATACAAAACTCCCTAACAAAAGAGTTGCGTATCTATACTTTAGGTTTAACTTATCGGAGATTGCATGTAATCAGTATCTCCAAAACAACACCTGTAAGGGAACACTTGTTCATGAAAATTTCATAACAGAAAAATTGCTGGGTTCCCTTATTCAGTTCTGTGAGCAAGGGATGGTATAGCTTCAGAACTGTGTTTCATTGTAGGGAATTAGGTTTTTGTGTTAATCTTTACCTCAGCTATGATGTAAACCCTAGAAATAGAAATTTTAAACTACTATTAGTATTGTTGCTGCCTTGATTTTGAAATTAAATCAAAATGCTATTTTTTTGTTCTTTGAAACTGAGTTTCCAAGATAAATACAGACTATTAGATGGACATGTTTTGTAAATTCTGTGCTAGAAACTTTTACATGTTAAAAATTTAGTCCTGATCAGGAATCAAAGTCACTGCTGAGTTATCTGAACCTGTATTTTGCTCTGTTACAGTCTCTGAAGAAGCTAAATCATGCCAATGTAATTAAATTGAAAGAAGTCATACGAGAAAATGACCACCTTTACTTTGTATTTGAATACATGAAGGAAAATCTCTATCAGTTAATGAAGGACAGGTATGTCTTTTTCACAGAACAGTGTGCTATCATGCTTTGTTTAATGATTCTTATGCTATCTTGAAGCAACACATTGGAATTTCTGGTTTTGGCTCTTCTTGCAGCCCCACTGATGTGAACAGGAATTGCTGCACCCGCTTATCTCAGGGTAGAATTCTGCATTGCCCTGCATTACAGTGTTGCATATTGTAATGATTTTGGAAATAACAGTTTGTTCAGTTGTTAACGTGATAGCTTGCATGTCTTTGGTGTGTAGAGCCATGAGAGAAATTCCAAATCCTGTTGTTTTTTTTTTAATTTATTAGACTTCACTTTAAAGTATGAAGGATTGGATAAACAGTGTTCATTCTGCTTTTGCTCATGGATTTGGCTTAAAGTGGGGATGGTCACCTGCATGTACATGCATGCATGCGCATAAAAAAGACCTATTGATGGACTGTGTGATGTTGCAATCTTGGACAAACAGTACATAGCAAGGCTTGCAAGATGGACTTTGGAATAGGACCTGCCTTGTCAATAGTGTTTTTCTTTGCTGAGTTCTTTTGCCTTTAATGTGTGTTCCCTTCAGGCGTTGTCATGCACCTTTATCTCCTAATGTGCAAAATTCCTAAGTTTGCATCCTGAGATAGCTGCTAGTGATATTAGCACAACATTACCTGACAGCTGAGAAGGATTGCTGTCAATCAGGGTTCCCTTAAGGGTACCACTGTGTAGCACACCTACCCCAGTGCTGCGCTGTGCGCTGTCTTCCTTGATACGTTACCATGCGTTCCATGTTCAAGCACACTGCGGGCCAACCAGCTTCTGCAGAAGAGGGTCATGGACCTCTCTGCAGAGAAGTCCCTCTGCAGCACTTAAAGTGAGTGAAATTACGGCCTGGCAGCAAGTGAGTTTTGAGATGAGGGCTAGTTGCATCTGTCTTACTTCGTGTGCAAGACTTGACTGGTCTGGTTTCATCTGTTCATGATGTGTTGTGCAAAGGAAATACATATGTTTTGAAAATACATTATTTTTTTAATTATGTGAAGTTGTTCATCTGTTTCTTCACAGAAACAAGTTTTTCCCTGAGTCAGTCATCAGAAACATGATGTATCAGATATTACAAGGGCTAGCTTTTATCCATAAACACGGTAGGTTTCAACCTAGAGTTTAACTGTGTAGCACTTTTTTAGAAAATAAGATAATGCACAGTAATAACATGAATAAAAATATCTAGCAAAGGCTATTCATTATCTCTAATAAAAACTATTCTTTATCTGTTTCAAGTATGGTGCATTTTTAAACCATACCTGAAGCCACACTTTGTTTTCTTACAATCAGATTTTCCTCTATCTTTTTGAAAGCATTGGGTATTGTTCATACACTGTTTAGTACTTTTTGCCATCTTAGTTACCAGATGAATAAACAAACTAAAGAAACATGTATGCTGTGCTATACTGTGTATTTCTGTTTCCTCAAAAAGATGTATTTAAGGAGCATTGATACTTTACAGATGGCAGTTTCTCCTGTCTTGAGATACTATAACTAATATGATACCCTACATCTAAAAAAAAATTAAAATAACTTGTTCACTTAGAAGTTCAAACAGTCTCCTTGTCAAATACAGCCTGGATTTAAATATTTTAAGAGACAGGACTTTTCTAAGAATTACAAGCACAGTCTAAATAAGAGGTGCTATGTGCTCACAACAAGAAGTAGTTTCACAGCATTTACAAAACTTTTAGAATCATAGTGCTCATGTTTAATATCTGTCTGCAAACTGCATTCTGAAATACTGGTATTAAGCTCCTTTGCATTTAAAAAACTAGTAATTTACTCTTGTTCAACTCCTTTATTTTGTACTTGTCCTTCACATCACATTACCATCCTTAAAACTTTCCAAAGACGACAAAATATTAGCTGAAAAATAAGAAACAATGTTCCCAGTGATCTCTGATTGGCTTTCATGTACCCTGGCAAGGCCTGTTGATGAATTCAAATAATTAATTAGTTCTCTTCAATATTATAAAATACCCAGAAATTGCCATTTCATGTCTTTCTGTTCAAGATAATATACTGTTCACTGATTATTAGCATCCTCTTTTCCTTTGTAATTTCTACATGAAATAAATGAGAAAATCAGAATTTAAGAAAAACTGCCATTTCAAAGTTGTTATATTAATATTTGTTTTGACCATAATTGTTTGGGAATGACATGTATAATAAATTTGAAAATTTACATTTCACTGTGATAATTTCAGCCAATTTCTTACAGTGGTTGTCAGTTTCTGCATGCAGAACTTGAATGCTTTATTGTAGCAAGTGAATTTCAATCAAACTGATTTATATTATAACCATTGTGTACACCAATTAAACAGCAGAATTGATTTGCTTAGCGACTTAACAGCTATCCAGGTATGTAGGTACTCAAGCCAACAGTAAGCATTAAAGAAACTATGTGCCTGCATTACCAATATTAGCATTCCCGACCAGAATTTTCATCTCTCTTATACACCTGCATCTACAAATCATTGTCACAATGATAAATAAACTTGTGAAAAATAGTTCAAGGAATTTTGTAGATCAAGAAAGAGTGCCAGGTGCCCATTTTTTCGTTATCCAAAACCAACAAAGCAGTTGTAGTTTTTTGCAAATGATTTCATTCTGAAATGGGTTTATTTGATATCACTGCAATAGCCAATTAATTTTCCTTAGTGTGTTAATGACAGTTTACATCTGTTAATTTAAGAACAGTTGGTGTAATAATTGCTGGAGGGAAAATGCGTGTGCTTGTTAGGGTGAGGGTTACCATTCACTTATTCTGAATTTAAAAATTAAAAAAAAAAAATAGCTATATTCTTCCACAACATCCCAAAGTAAATTTTTGGTTATTCTGTTAAAAGGCTGCTGTTTAAGAAGTGATGACACAGTAATTCACTGTTCTGTTCTCTCTGATCTTCTATAGGATTTTTTCATAGAGATATGAAACCTGAAAACCTTCTCTGTATTGGACCAGAACTTGTGAAAATAGCAGATTTTGGTTTGGCTAGAGAACTAAGATCTCAGCCACCTTATACAGATTATGTTTCTACCAGGTGGTAGGTATATTAAGGAGTTAATACATTATCTTAACTCATTACCTTTTTCTTACAATTTTAATTTATCTATTATTTTGATTTATCTATTAGTTCTTTCCATTCTCATAGGTACCGTGCTCCTGAAGTTTTGCTAAGATCATCTATTTATAGCTCACCTATTGATGTGTGGGCAGTTGGCAGCATAATGGCTGAACTGTACACACTGAGACCTCTTTTCCCAGGCACAAGTGAAGTAGATGAAATCTTCAAAATTTGCCAAGTATTAGGGACTCCGAAGAAGGTAAGACTTTTTGAAAAACTCACACAATAGTATTTAAAAAAAAAAAAGTTAAGTTAAATTCTTATAAAACATTAAATGTTACTGCTCTTTCAGAACATACATATAAATTATTGTTTTAGTAATTTCCTGCAGACTTCAGGCTTTCTCAACTGTATTTCTTTTAAGGTTCTATTAAGGCACGTAATGCTAGTCTCTTGTATATTAGCATCCGTTGTGTATCATGCCATTATGTGTAGCCCTGCTCTTCTCTGACGAAAGCCAGATAAAATTGTTTAGTTTAGTAATTTAAAGCTATGCATATTGGAAAGAAAATCAGAAGTCTCCTGGAATTTCATTTTGCCACAGTTGATTTGTTTTCCTTTCCTGAAAGAGTAATTCTTCTAGGCTGGCACCCAGAATTTGGAGCTTGTGGAAGACACCATAAACAAGACAAATTATGCTTTTCTTATTTCTAAAGCATAATAAAGGAAACATTTGATCTCAAACACAGATGTCTCATAAAATATTATTAGCAATAAAAAATGAGGAAAAATGTGCAATATTTTAGAGAGTAAACAATTATTTTCAGTTATTTTCTGGAAGGGCTAAATATGTTAAAAATTACAAGGAAAGTTTGGGTAGTGTGTATAAAAATGTATGCAATTGGAAAGGAATGTTCACCTTCAAGATTTTGAATAAACTGAGAAAAGACCATGTAATATAAATATTTTTTTGAGAATACGGTAAGAGATGGCAGATGCTTATCAGTACTTTATGGGCACAAATGGAGCTTTGTGAAATAACTGACTGAACTTGGAAAACCTGAGGGTGGGAGAGAAAAACATAGATTTCTTTCATTGATGTTCTACTGATATAAAGTAAAACATAATTCTTGTCCAGTAAAGGAGCTGTTATCAATACCGAAGTGAGGAACAGAAATCTTAAAACAGAAATAGATTAAGCTTAGCTAGGAAGATGCAGATCTTGAAGTGGTGGGAAAACATCCAACAGAACATACTGTGAAACAGGTGGAAACTCAATGCCAGAGCAGAGAGGAAAAGGTCAGAGGTGGATAGTTATAGATGATATGTTGTGGAAGTAAAAATTGAGTCTAGAAGACTAAGTGAAAACTGCTATGATGTGTAAAACAGCGCTTGCTATGACAACTGTGCATTAGAAGTCCTGTGTAATATGAGCGGTATTTTAAGACTTGAGTTTTCAAACACAGATGTTAAGTTTTTTAAGCAGCTCACAAGTCTAGGATAGTAAGAAAAATATTTTGATGTATATTAAGAATATCTGTGAAAGAGAGCAACATACTAGCTTCTGGAACATTTCCAATGTATAGCATATATAAGTTCTAGAAGTGCAGGGAGATCAGAGAGAGACTCTCGCTGCGTGTAGTAGCAGAGCAGTGCTGAGCTGACTGCTGTGGTTTTTCTCTAATGTTGTAAGTAGCTGAACAGAAGCAAGTCATGACTGTTTACCCTCTGTCGTTCCCTGACTAGCAAGCTGATTGCTTGGGAAAGCAGGGAGAGTTACCAGCTGAGTATTTCGGAGCAAACTGTAGCCTCTTCTAAAGACCCTAAGGGAAGACACTAAATCAGCCCTCTAGGATCAGGAAGCTGTAATTACTTCCTTTGTGCCCTTGTCATCTGCCTGGAAGACTTGGGAATTTTATGTCCTTACAACAATGCTAAGGCATTCTTCAGGGAGATCACAGTGTAAGAAGAGTACTTAAATATGATGATAGAAATTATCATAGCAAATGATGCATTTTTTACAAGTGAGGTACCTCCTTCATTCTGAAAAACATAAGCAGTTATTTTAATAGTCTGGTTTTGCAGATAGTTTTACAAACAGTATTGTTTTCAGACATATATTTTCATTTATTCCATTATCCTGCAATGAGGAATTACAGGAATTATGCCCAGAAGCTATCTTCATTCCACTTTGCCTTCCTTTGTTTAAGTCCATCATACTAATGCCTTCTGTGAGTTTGGGTTTTTCTAAATAGTGATAGGCAACTATTTTGCTTTATTTTGTGAATGAAGTTGCTTTATTTATAAAATGTTGCTTTATTTATTTTATAAATAAAGCAATAAGTCACACCATTCCGGTACTCACAGTGATGGTGCACTAGACAATCTGAAAAGGAGAGATTAATTAAATGCATTTTCATTAGTTGAAGGTTGGCAATGGCACTTTAAATAATTTTTTATAAATTGAAATGTATTTCTCATTTTTGCACTTTTACTATTTTCATCCTATCCCTGTACTTCACCAGTTCAACACCCAGCCCTTGCAACTTCGTTGTAAACGTTCTTTATCGTTACCTCTGGCAGCCAGAACATCACCAACTCCAATAAAGGAGGGAGATGCAGCAGAGGAGGAGAGAGTCTACCTCCATTAATTTAAATGAACAAATTATTCTCTGAGGTGGAATTGGAAGTCCCTTGAAGTCTTGAGACTTATTTTAACCACACTTGGTTTATAATTATATTTTAGTTCTGTGATTACCATAGACTGTTAACAGAGCTGACACTGTATGTTGTTGATGTACATAAAAAGATGAGTAATAGCTAACATGATATCTTAAGACCAGATTCTATCAAATCAATCCCATTTACTCCTGTAGCAGTGTAACAGGCTTTGTGGATAGAGGAGAAGAACTAATATCATACGTTGTCTTCAGTAAGGCTTCTGGTGCTGTCCCTCATAACATTCTCATCAGCATATTTATGTAAACAAACTGCATGATAAGTACATACCTGTTCGGAAAGCCGTATTCAGAAAGTAAGCTTTACTGTTTCACATTCAAAATGAAAGAAAGATCGAATAGGACTTGAATGGTTCTGCAGCTGATGAAATTTTTAAATTGTATTTGTCATGGGTTAAGCTAACCCACCACAGTATTACAGACCTTCTGATGGAATAGATTTTACTTCTTAAGTTGGCAGTTGGGAAGGACTGAGTATATTAGGAGACAAGATTAGAATTCAGAGTTTCTTACAAAATTGGAGATGTAGTTTTAAAAAAATTTCTTTAGTCATGTGCGGAGTGCTGTACTTAAGCAGCAATAATCATATATACATATGTATATATACATATGTTTCTGGGGATAACCATCCAGCTCACATGTCTGTAGAAGAGGATGTAGGAGCTATATGTAGTGCATTGGTTTCTTTTGCAGCAAATACCATACCAGTGTGTAGAGAAAGGAGTACAGTCCACCAACATATGAACAAGTCTTCCTGTTAAACTTGCTGTATTATGTCCAGTTACAAGTTTTGCCTTTCAAGAGAGAAAAACTGGAGTCCAGAGAAGAGGAAGAACTTTAAAAGCCTAGACCCAGAAATTCAATTGTTTCGGCTTCTTTAGCCTATACAAAGGAAGACTGGAAGAAAGGAGAAGAAATATACCTTTTAATATATAAAAAGGGTGCTCTAGAGAGAAAAAAGAAATAGCTGTTCTTGGTATCCATGGATGATAGCACACTCAACAATGGCCTTGCATTGCTGCAAGAGAAACCTACATTTTTATAATTTTGAGAACAATTAAGCTCTGGAATAGACTGTTTGTAGTGGTTGTGGAGTGCTGGAAACTGGAAGCTTTTTAGACTAGTACCTGTCAGGAACTAGGGGCAAGGGCATGGGCTAGATGTTCTCTTGAGGTCTTTGATAATCCTGTGATTCTGTATTGAAACAATGCAGTTATCAAGGAACTAAGGACTTCAGGTTTTACTTTTTGCAAGTTAAACATTCAAAAATAAAAGTTTTTGTTTGGTGGTCGTGGCTTTTTCCTGTTGCAGTACTGTCTAGTTGTAACTTAATCATTGATTGTCTTAATGGTGGAATCAGTGGTATATTGCATAGGCATGGTTACACACCCATGGTATGCTAGGTGGAAGGGCCTCACCTCTGCTATTCCCATAAAGAAGGTATGTTGAAGTCAGCTGTTTGAGCTCATTTCTGTGGTAGGTGGGATGTTTGGTACTGCTCCTGGTACTGCTGCACTCTCTTCTTCAGACAGAATATGTCCAAGTGTGGTGACCACAATGAAGGTTCCACCTTTTCCCACAGGAGAGCTTGAGAAGGACTGCCATTGGAGACTGATTCTGTGTTCACTGGTGGTGTAACAATTGTAATTTTTAATGCCTGTTAGCCACTATATAGGAAGGAGCTATGCAGACCAAGCATGACTCAAGCTGCATAAGATTAAATTTGATTTAATGCCTCAAAGATATATAGTCTTTGTTATTTTTTGGTACTCATTTTTCTTTCCTTTGAAACAGAGTGACTGGCCAGAAGGATACCACCTTGCTTCTGCCATGAATTTCCGTTTCCCACAATGTGTCCCTATAAGCCTAAAAACTCTAATCCCAAATGCAAGCAATGAAGCAATACAGCTTATGAGTGATATGCTGAACTGGAATCCGAAGAAGAGACCTACAGCAAGTCAGGTTTGAGTACCTGATGATTAAGTATAAGACTGAATTTTCTTGCATTGTTAAAAAATTGTAGATACAGAAACCAATTGAGTGTCATAGTACTGACGGCCAGAGAAAAATCTCCTCATTTTGAACACTTTGGTGGGAATGAGACTGAGTAGTGAGGAGAGAAAGTTCTAAACCTGTCTCAGCAGACATAATAAACTCTTCAGTTATTTCTGCAATGTTGTCTTCTGTATTGGCACATTGTAAAACTTTCTCTGTACAGGAGAAAGAAAAATCTGAGCTACAAGTTTCCTGAACTGTAACTGCAAGTCAATTCTGCTGCCTTCATTTTCCTCCCCCATCTGTACAAAGGGAGATACTGAAAAACAAGCCTTGCTTGTTGTGAAGCTGCAGATGGAATGTAGTATAGAAGAGCTAAGGATTATTTTTACTTGGAGAGGGGATATAAACTATAATAAGTGATAAGGAAAGAACTTTGTGAAGAACATACCAATAGGTCACAAAGGTCACAGTTTTTCCTCCAAGTTAATTTCAAAAAATGTGTTTAAAGTACACAAGATGTCAGTACATTCTACTGATCTTTTTTTCAAGTAGTCATACCTAATGCAACCCAATTAGAAGGTATAAAAGGGGAATACAATTAGGAAAGGAAAGACATATTGCAACTTACCCTAGATGGATGTAATGTGATTCAGAAGCTGTTAAGCAGATGGTACCAAGTAGAGCAACCATTTCTCTTCACTTTATAAAGCATATCTATTGTTACAGTCGCTGAGATCTAACTGTAGTCTATTGGTATATATCTCTACACAGAATACTGCATGGTGCTTTATGAAAGCAAATAACCAGCTTTTGCTGGTTATTTGGTGAGTTGTAAAGGAAGCAGCTGCGGCAGTTGTGTAATCCACAGCCAAAAGGGAGAGGTCAATGCACTTATTGGAAACATGTACAAAGGCAGCAATTTTCAAGTGCAGCTGAGGCAAAACATCTCTTTCAGAACTAACAGAGTAGAATCCTACCCAGAAGAAGTAGCAGAGGTGTTGTTTTGACATAGGAGGAGCTGTGTTAGTAAGGTATGTCCATGCTGTCCATCTAGCAGTGGACATGAAATGTTCAGAGAAAAAGAATGAAATACACGTCTGCCTGAAGACAGACACTGTAGTTTCCTAATGAACACCATGAAGGTACAGCAAGCACAGTGAATGTATTTCAAAACAGAACAACAACAGGGAAAGCTGGTGATAAGAAAAAGGAGAAACTTTGCTGGTTAACATCCTCTGATTGTAAAACCCATACATTAATATTAAATGGCAATCATCACACTTGTGGGGTTTATTTTTTTGTTTTTTTAAACTTAAAAAAAAAGAAAGCACTGTTTATTGAGTTGCCAAGGCATAGTTAGTGGAAACATTGTAATAAAGCATATGGTAAAGGTAGTAGAGACTACCTGCTTTAAGATTGAAATTTATTACTGCATTAATATAGAATGGTATTGAATGTAAAATGCACCTGAAAACAGACTTCACGAAACCTAGAAGTAAAGGAGGGAAAGAAAGGACATGACTGCTATAACATGTACAAGTGGGTCCATCTTACTAAATTATTTGACGGGAAGAGTTTAAAATACAGAACGGACAGTTATTAATACACACTTTACATATGATCTTATGATGCATCCATCTTGCATTTGTGCTGTAGAGCTTGCTCAAATGCTTCAGAAACCTGCTTAGATCCTTGATGAGGTTACCAAAGTAAACTTTTCGAAGTAAAATTGCTATGTTATGTCTTCTCCTCCAGGCTTTGAAGTACCCTTATTTTCAAGTTGGCCAAGTTTTAGGACCTCCTCCACAGTATCTGGAGAAGCAGACTCCTCTTAAACCAGGTCAGCCAACAGAGCCAAAGCCAGCTTTACCTAAAGTGGAACCTATATCAAAGCCAGAACCTCTGTCTTCACCTGATGCACCGGACAAAACACAGCCACAGCCCTTATCAAAGGTTAACCACCAGCCTCTCCAGCAAATTCAATTGCCTCAGAATACAGCTAACCAGCAAGTACCAAAACAGCAGCAGCGACAGGCACAACCGTTTTTTCCAACCATCAATAAAAACTCATCACCAGTAAGTTGTCTTCAATAAGTACTTAGGTCGTTACATTAAAAGTTCTTACTGTATTCAACCAGATGATCCCTTTAAATTTGTCATACTTTTTATTAGAAAAAATACAGATATTTAGGGACTAATTAAGGATATAACTGGTCACTTACTGAAATTTGACAGCAAATCAGAAGAATAGATTGCTTGTAACTACAATGTATGTTCATTTGTAATAGCCTTTACTGACATGATTACGCCGTAATGTAGTTACAACATCTATCGTTTATTGACCTTTGAGAAACAATTCACAAAAATATTGTTAGTATACAGTAAGAGAAGTGGGAGCACTTCACTTGCCTCACACAGGAAAATACCTGGGACAGCTCAGAGTCTTGTTTATGACAGTAGTTCTCTGACTACCACCTGTTGGCTACTAGTAGATAGCTGCAAAGTGAGCAACACATGTAATCACATGGAACTCGACGTTTCATCCAATTCCTAAGCGTGTAAGGTGTTTAACAAGATGAATATTAAACTTTGGTTTACAGTCTTTTTGCTTTCCACTTACACCCACTGAACTACAATATAAACCATGTTAAACAGGTATTCAGAATATACAGGAAAGCAAACTACAGCCACATGAAAGGACAGCTTTAAAATCTAATTTCTTTTGAAGAGAATGTTAATAAAAGTCACAGAATCACAGAATCACAGAA